ATAGACAAATAATAATAATAGGTTACCGGGTGTGGAAGAATTAGAAAACAGAAACGTTACTAAGGAGCGAGAACAATTGAATAGTAATCTTAAAGACAGTAGATGACGATTGACATTGCATTTAAATTTTTGAAGATGATTTTAGCTTTCCTTTCTTTGTTTTATTTTAGGAGTACGGTGAATAGCATCGTTTCTTGGAGGAAGCGACAGACAGAGAGGACAGATCTTGTCATCACCAAACGGTGGCTTGTTTCACTCGGCGGAAGCCAGACACATCAAGGAAACTGAGAGCGGAACGTGTCTTCCCTTCTTTATTATGGCCATCATACTGACTCCTTTCCCACCTTATACTATATTACTCTTATATCTTATATTAAAAATTAAGAGCAATATATCTGTCAAAATTATATGACCACGTGGTTCGAAACTGATCCCACTCAATTCAGGTCGTCAAAATTCGGACCACTACAGTAGGGTTTGGCATTTTGGGATAGCCTACCTATTTTCTAAAACTTATGGCCATATCATGTTGAAACGACGGTTCCCCTAGTGTAAATTACAATTTTAATATCTTCACGTCAAAAGTTAATCGTTATCCATTCTCACTTCCTACTACCTCCTCTTGCAATCATATTACACGCTTCATTCCTCATATAAACATTTTGATAGTAACCATATACTTGAGTGACTCTCGGGGCGAAGTTTAGCATTCTGCGCCTTCAGATTAACTCATCTCAGCCGGAACTGTCATTCTAGTGTGTGGCCAAAAAGAGGCACAACTGATTTTGCGCTACGATCTCCAACTGAAGTCTTTCCCGGTATATTATGTATATAATACATATGATTGGATGCTCCAACATTTCGCTACAAAACGTGCAATACTGCATATCTTTTCCTTTTGACAGTTGAATTGGCTAGATGAAACCGTAAGTTCTATGCTAGCAGTTTCTTCTCTTGTACTTCTCGCTCGTGGAAACTCTCTCACGGCTTCTTGCTTACCAGTTAAGTTTGATCTTCAAAAATGTAAATGCAATATCAGTCGTTATCTACTGTCTTCCTCATTACTCTTCTATTGTTCTCAATCCTCAGCAATGGTTCTGTTTTCTAATTCTTTCAAACCCAGTAGTTCCGTGTGTCTTAGTCGCTTTACTGCCTTGAATGGGGTGAATTCGATTAAAAATTACTTATTTTTTATTATCATTAGATGCTTAAAATAACCAAAACCACACACACACACACACACACACACACACATATATATATATATATATATATATATAACGATGACTAAAAGGCAAAACTGAAGAAGAAAAACAAAAAACAAAGCAAAAATAAACAATATATAAATGAGAAAAAAAGGCAGTAATAACATTATTTCCTTCAACCCCCCACACAGAGGGGGCGCTTAAACTCCAAATCTTGAAATTCAAGAAGGCGGTTTAAAGAAAAAAAATCTTCTCTATAGAGAGTAAGAATGTCTTTGATATCCGTTTTCTAAAACTTATTTTTTTTTACGCATAAAAATGTGTTGCCGTCACTCAATTTGAAAAGAGATCGACATCTATGGACATAACGTATATGTCGGCAGCAATAATTCACTAAGAAATGTTTTATTAAATTTGAATAACATCGACGGTCTATTCATTTTTTTTTTAACGGAGAATACTAGTCAGCGTATGAGTCACTGTAAAGATGAATCGAGCTTATGAAGAAACTCCCCGTGTTACAGAATATGATCTTGATTGATTAAGTTTTACGACCTATCAACCTTTTGCAGGTTATTTAAAGCCGGAAAATATTATTAGATTTTTATAATCTTTTGAAGATAATAATGATTTACTGATACAAGTCTAAATAATTAACCCATAGCTGGGGCGGAAAGAGATGGATTCATACTTTTTCCCAAGTGGATTTGTGCGTAAGTGAATATAACAAACGAAATTGGAACTCGGTCCTCTGATTAACAATTCCGAGCTGTTATCCATTACACTACCCGCACATCCATGCTTACAGAACTTAGTAATACCAAACGGTTACCCATTTAGATATTGACCAGGTTCGATGTTTCTTAACTTCGGTGATCGCTCGAGAACCGCTTTCAGATTCCTTGACGTGTCTGGCTTCAGCAGACGGAGACAAGCCATCATTTGGTGATGGCAAGAGCCGTCCTTTCTGTCTTCATCTCGCTTCCCCCCCCTCCAAGAAACAATACTACTCACGGTGCCTCATATTTGTTGTTGTTATCACAACGTTTCGGTCGTGGTGCCCTCCGGCCTTCATCAGATGGGTAACCTACATTTCTTCAATATACGCGGCTAAACTGTTCTTCCATTGACCATGTCTACCTATATCGTCTACTCCAGTTCTTATTTTTAGTACTGCCCATTTATTGCTCACCCGTTTCCATTGAGTTCAAATACACTCTACCCGAGCCATGGATGGAACTCACAATCACTATGTCTTAAAATTTACAAATCAACACTTTAATTTTCTAGAGCAGTGTCCTACGGGACAATGATAAAACCTCATTCCGGAAATTCAGACAGAAATTAAGATTTTGGGGAGTCTATTCTTCAGAGTAGCGGTTCTTTGGGGAAAAAAAATGCCTGAATTCTCCTTAGATTTGGAAAGCAGTGGAACTGTCCACAAGAATTGATTTCATGCTCTTTTTTTATCCAACAAGTGCAAATTTCTTCAATAGTAATCATAAGCTTCTTTTCTTCTGCTACCTTACCGTAGTCTCAATCTCACGCTAGAGCGATCGCTTACAATGTTTTCTCGGTTCCAGACGTTCTTATTTCGAGACATCATGGCACTTTAGCGGAACTCTTTGATAATTATTTACCACGTTTCACAGTATATAAAACGCACTTTTTAAAATGGCTCAAACAATCGCCATGCATCTTATATGAAAAGTTTACCCACAACGCTCATTATCGCCCATCTATAATTTTGCCTCAAACAAAGATATATCGGAAACCAAACTTTTATATATATATATATATATATATATATATATATATATATATATATATGAAACCAAACCCGACTTTATAAGAACATTATTTACTCAAACTAAATTATATTGTTTGTAATTATAAAAAAAGGAAATTCTAGAAAATTCCTTACATTTCTAGGAGGTTCCAGGGAGTTCTAGAAGGTCCCGAAAGTTCTAGAAGGCTCCAAAATGTCATAGTACTACTATAGTTATATACAGTTTTCGAAATTTCGTGTTGGGGCGACATTTGAAAAAAAAATGAATTGAAACCTTTTTCATTATTTTTTTTAACAAAAGTTCATCGAATTATGATACAGGAAATCAATTAATTTACAAAAGGAAAAGATAATAACTCTAATATATATATATATATATATATATATATATATATATATATATATATATATATATATCATAATGAAACAATTTATACAAAGAATTAAATAGTAATGTTAATGTGATTAATGACGAAATCACTTTGATAACAGAAATTAATGAGACATTAACTTACTATCAATTCCTTGAATAAAAAGTTCCTTATATCGAGTTGTTGTCAGATGGAAGACACAGGCCAAGTACGTTCGAAATTTTTAAACTATCATCTTTAGGGGACAATTTTCCCCTACATAGGCAAACACTAAGACGAAATATGTGTAGACCGAATTTTTTTCTTTTAATTATGCTATTATTAGGTTGGTGCAAAAACAATGACGTAATAATGTCGTTTTTTGACGTTAAAAAATACGTCAAAAAACGACATTATTACGTCATTATTTTTGCACCAACCTAATAATTGACAGCTGAATATGTTTTGGAGCGTGCGATGTTGCGACTCTAGAATTCTTGTTCAAATCGATCAAGTGAGAATTTTCTTTGAATTTTGAAAAGTTATAAATCCATGAAATTTTCTTGTTATATGTATTTATCTGTTAAAGTGAAATGGACTTAGTATAATCCAATCCAATTAGTAAAATATCTTAGTAGTTTTTCACAGAATTTAGGATTCTGATTATTATTGTGCTAATCCCATTAACATTGCTATCTAATTCTTTGTATAAATTGCTTCTTTATGATATAAAATATAAGCTGCACACTCTAATATATATATATATATATATATATATATATATATATATATATATATATATATATACACTATTTACATTGTTCGGATCTTCAAGGACACATGGCACAGTAGATAAATGCGTTAGTTAGATCCAGTGACAGGATCTAAAGAGTGTGTGTTCAATACCTGGTTAACTTGGAGAGGAAAATTAACAGGAGGTAACTCATAACTGAAATCCAATAGACATGGCCCGTGGAACAAAACAGTCTAACCTAGCGAGCGAAATAAAGGGTTCAGTTCGACATTCCAACCACCTGAAGAAGGCCGGAGCGTACAACGGCCGAAACTTTGTGATAAATATGGCAACAAAGATGAGAACAATTGTCCGAATAATGTAAAATAGTGTACATAATACCTCATCTCAGAAATATAGACATATATATATATATATAGGTATATATATATATATATATATATATATATATATATATATATATATATATATATATATATATATACGAGGACTATTGAAATATTCTCGACCCAATCAAGAAGCTGTTTAAAAGAATTTGATCTCATCTTTCAAGCTACTGAAAGATTTTCAGCGTATACTCTGTCCTTATTAAAAACGGGTTTGTTCATCTTATAAACTACACGTCTGTTAATTAATCTTATATCACTGGATACACCCGCAGCCTAGTAATGGCAGGTGTTCAACTTCGTCTAAAAATGAGTTGAAATAGCCACCAAATTGTACGGTTCGTTCCCACGCTCACTTTGTATATTTTTGGACACTAACGCCAGATAAACCCGTATGCCGAGTGAAGATAGCCACAAGCGGCGACAAAAGAGGCTAGCCAAGGCTTATCAAACGTTGGAGTAATATCGTAGAAATAAAATTATCAAGGTTTATTGTTTATGAAAAGTCGAATAATTCTAGGCGCGTGTGGATAATGCAGTAATCTGTAACCCTCTTGGGAGGTGGGGTGCCATGAAATAGCCCAGAGGATGTAGAGAGAGAGAGAGAGAGAGACCGGCAGAGAGAGAGAGAGAGAGAGAGAGAGAGACCGGCTTAGCGACCCCAGTATCACATGACTAGCGATCAGATGTTATTTAATTTACTATTTTGAGCAAGAAATATATAAACAACCGCAACAGTTTGGTTAGACAATGTCTCCTTTAACTTTCATCCTGGTCTAGTCAGCTAAAACATGAATGAATGATATTTTTTTTTGTTTTGAAGGATAGATGTATTGTAATTATTTCACGTTCATTTTAATTGGCATTTTCAACTGATATCATTAATTTTTGGCTAGTATTGACTTTCACATTCATTTTTTATTAGATGAAGCATTGTCAAACATTATTATTAATATTTGACTAGTATTTACTTTCATCTTCATTTTTTATTAGATGAACCATATTCAGCCATTATTATTAATGTTTGACTAGTATTGACTTTCACATTCATTTTTTATTAGATGAACCATATTCAGCCATTATTATTAATGTTTGACTAGTATTGACTTTCACATTCATTTTTTATTAGATGAACCATTTTCAGCCATTATTATTAATGTTTGACTAGTATTGACTTTCATCTTCATTTTTTATTAGATGAAGCATTGTCAACCATTATTATAAATTAAGTAGTATTAGCTTTCATCTTTTTCATTAGACGAGCCATTGTCAAATATAATAATTTAGTTTTGTCTAGGAATTATTTTCATCTTCATTCTGATCAAGTAGAACATTGTCAAATACTATTATTGATTTTTGACTCGTATTTATTTTTATCCTATATAGGAAAATTTGGGAAATCCAACTATTGTAAACTTTAGATGTGTGGATGGTGTAATGTATAATGGCACCAATTTGTAAATCGGAGAACCGGGTTCCAATTTCAGTCGGTTTTTTGTTACATTCACTTACGCGCAAATACCCTCGGGGAAGGTCTAAATACACCTCTTCTCCCCTTAGCTTTTGGTTAATCAGTAGAACTTGTATCAATAAATCATTATCTCTAAATTATTCTTACAATCTAAAAATATTTTCTGGCTTTAAATAAGCTGCAAACTGTTGGTAAGCCGTAAAAACAGATCAGTCAATCACAAATATCGTAAGTGCCTTCATCTCTGTTTTTCGGCCAACAATCTTCAGCCATTTTATCCACGTCGTTACTCCTGAGTTTCTATTAGCCGTGGAGGCGGCGTTTCTTCTCAGGTTTGCTTTTTTTTTAATTGTTTAACACTTGTATTTTCAGTCTTCTATTTTAGGTGCATTTGTTGGCTGAGTATTTTTATGTTTCCTTCATGATGAAGTTGGGTCGTTTTAAAAATTTATTCGTTTCTTTATAAAAAGGGATAAGTATTTTTTATTCCTAGATGTTAACAAGCTGCAGCGTCCAACCAGACGTGATATCAAAATATTTTTTAAATTAATAGCTGCTGTTCTGTAAGTCGACTCAGGCCTTGTTTTAAAGACTTTACCACCGTTAAGTCTCGCAATATAAAGTCTCGCAATGTAAAGTCTCGCAATATAAAGTCTCGCAATATAAGGACGACCAACATTTGCTATAGAAAAATGCATCTTATGACACAATATGATTATTGTTTTTATTTCATATTAAATATATCACATTATTATTACTGTGTTCACGCCTTCAGTGCCAGGGAAGATACTGCCAATCAACTCACAACAACGATCTCAGACAGTACTTTTCAAAGTATGTGTTGAAATACTGTTGAAACAAGCTTGGGTGTGCGGATGGTACAATAGATAATGGTTCGTCATTTGCTTATCGAAGTATCGAGTTTCAGCTCCAGTTGGGTTCGTTATGGATTGTTGCATGTATGTATTTAGTATCATAGAATCTGTTATTTTCAAAACACAGTCAACATATTGGGTTCATGTTCATACTTGATATTATTGCGTGTTGCTTTTTTGTTTTTATTAATATTTAATCAATATGTTGATTGTGTTTCGAAAATAACACATTCTGTTATGATAAATAATAAAACAATCCATTTCCAGTTAACAGTAAATATAATTCATCCTAGTGAATCGATAGAGGTATAGCCGAAAGCGCTTGGAAAAATAAAACATTTGAACAGTTTTTGTATAATTTCTCTACGGAAAAGAAAACAATTATAAGATCATATGAGAAATTATATAAAAAACTTAATCAAAGCACCTTGTCTGTCATATTTAATGAAGCTTATATATATATATATATATATATATATATATTATGAAATGGACAAAGTCCGACAATTATTTTAAGACATATTTTATGTTTATACGTTCTTTTTAAAGATACAAATATTTAAGTAAATGCTCTGTTTATAATAAACAGTATTAACAGCATTTACCGACCTGAATGTCCGAGAAATTTTCATAGAAAATATGCATCCTCCGACAGGAATCGAACCTCTATCCTATACGGAACCGTCATATAGCCTGACGTGCTTTACCGATTTGCTAACCGAAACGCTCCTCTGTGGCTAAATCGGTAAAGCACGTCAGGCAAAATGACGGTTCCGTATAGGATACAGGTTCGATTCCTGTCGGAGGATGCATATTTATGAAAATTTCTAGGACATTCAGGCCGGTAAATGTTGTTAATACTGTTTATTATAAACAGACATCTACTTCAATATTTGCATCTATATATATATATATATATATATATATATATATATATATATATATATATATATATGATTTATTGATCAAATATTGATCGGAACCCGAAAGAATGATGAGATAAAGAACAAAAAGTTTGGTGATGTAATATAATTATTTAACAATATTAACAAATATTAAAATGCGTTAAAAATATTATATTACATACCCAACCTTTATTGAATCTATTCTTAAAGAATCTAACGTATGTTTATCCAAAACAATCGTTTTGTATGTAAAAATGTTCCCAAATCAACATTCGAAAAATGACATAAACATAATGTCTACTAGACAGAGGGACAGAGAGACAGACAGACACACACACACACAGGTACACACACACACATACATACAAAAGCGCGCGTACGAATATGCATTATCATCTGATTCCCACATAGACAAAGTATACTTGTTATACGCTTACATACATAAGGCAATATTAACAGATTTTCGCTCCGACTTGGAATCCGTTAATTTCTTGAAATTTCGAATGGACACTTCATCTCTCCTTGAATTCGGAACACTACAAATTACATTAATGTCTGTTTAACAAGTCGAATGTATGTGAAACCTGATTGACCAATGCAGATTAAAGAACATAAAAATAAAAATACCAGAATGTTTTTCTTCTTTTACTTCATATCTCATTCTCTGATGAAGCTTCAATAAGAGCGAAACACGTTAGCTTGATAAACGTTTCCTATTTGTTCTTTTTTTTATCATTCTCTCGGATTCCGATCCATATTTGACGTATGTCTGTGTTTGTAAATACTATTACTGAATATAAGGAAACAGAGTGGTTTGTACAATGTTGTCAAAATTTTTAAGGCTTTGTTTATAGGTAGGGAGAAGATTCTTTTATTTTTTATATAGATTTTTAGAGATTTAAAACATCTGTCAACTGGTATGTTCGTATATAAATAAGACTTAAGTAATTATATATTCTATACACAATATATATATGGGAAAACGACATATAGACACAAAGTGACAAAAGGGATTTTTACAAAACGACACATTAAATTCATTAGTTGCCCACCGTAATAATTCTGAGCATAATTTTGATTTAAAAATTCTAATTTAATTAAAAGAGAAATAGATTTACTAAGACGAAAATGTATAGAAAGTGCTTTAATCGCTAGAACATCCACATTAAATTTATCTTCAGGTTCGTATAGCATTTCACCTGTCTCAGTATATCTTCTATAATCACAGTGTAGAATATTTAATAATAAAACTGATAAAAACAAAAACAACAAAAATCAAAATTAAATTAAACTAGAGTAGATATACATATTAAAAATAAATCTAAATTTAAAATTCTCAGCGCTCCCTCTCCTTCATATGAATGTGTAATCATATTAGCGTAAACATTAGGTACCCCGAAAAAAAAAAATTTCCACTTCTTTATAGATTTTCCTATTACATATATATATATATATATATATATATATATATATATATATATATATATATATATATATATATATGCGTGTGTGTGTTTGTGTGTGTTTCGTTGAACAAAACTGAAAATCTCTATTTGTTTAGATTTTTGTTATGTTTTTATAACGTCTACACACTATCATAGTATTTATTATAGTAGTATAACAAACCAATAAACATGGAAAATTGTTAACTGTATATCCGAAAGCGCTTGAAACCAACACATTTTCAAACACTTTCAGCATTCATTATATTAAGAAAAGACAAAAAACAAAACAAAAAACGATACGATATCAGTCTACTTCAGATGAGAAAGATTACAGATTACATATATATATATATATATATATATATATATATATATATATATATATATATATATATATGTTTGTGAGTGTGCGTCATATTTTTTTTATTTTTTAAGCTATGCTATATTTATGGAATAAAACTTTTATATGAGAGAAAAAGTGCATATATATATAATTAGTGTGGACACAGAGATCAACACCGAGTTTCGACAGTCTATTTTATGCTTGAGCGCAATCTCCACGAGCTGAAAATTCTCTCTCTCACACACACACACACACGTATATATATATACGTGTGTGTGTGTCCATGTGTGTATGCATGTCATGTTGAAGACCATGTCACCAAAGAGAAGAATTTGTTTTTTACTTCATTCATTTAGTAAGTATATTGTTTGTGATTTTTATATATTCCACAACGGATAAAATATAAAAAAATGCAACTGAGTCTTTAAGAATATTTATTTACAGTAAATAAATAAATATTATATTTTATATATATATATAATATATATATATATATATATATATATATATATATATATATATATATATATATGAGAAAAATATTTTATATATATTATATATTTATATATATATAAAATAGTTATTTTATATATATATACATATAAAATACTTTTTCTGATATATATATATATATATATATATATATATACATATATGATATATATATATATATATATATATATATACTTTTTTTTTCTGATATATATATATATATATATATATATATATATATATATATATATATATATATATATATATATATGGATGTGCGTATGTAAATTATTTTAAGACAGTGTTTCGCTAAAAGAATTAAATGAATAAAAAAAGAAACAAGAGGAAAAACTATTGTTACCGACGCGTTTCGCTTTTGTGGGACTTAATCAGTGCATAAATTCCCTCAGAGGACGAAACGTGTCGGCTAAGACACACACATACACACACACATATATATATATATATATATATATATATATATATATAATTTCTAAATAATGTCATATATATATATATATATATATATATATATATATATATATATATATATATATATATATATATATGCAGGGTGATTAAAAAGTGATTCCCACTTTAACATACTTATAATTTATTTATTAACTATAATTCTTACAAGAAATTGATATGTGAAGAAAGCGTTTGGCATGATGTTTTATTAAATATTAGATATGAGCACCAGATTTTGCTACCAGCTTCTCGAGCCGGCCAGGAATCACATCAACTGATTTCACCAGGAATTCACTTAATAAAAAATATCCAAATGTTTGACAATTTTTGTGTTTATTTTTCACCCGAAATTAAAGCAAACATACGAACATTAGAACGGCTCATGATCAGGCATAATGGACATTCGTAGTCTGTTATAGTTAACAATATATGTTTAAATATATATATATATATATATATATATATATATATATATATATATATATATATATGTGTGTGTGTGTGTGTGTGTGTGTGTATCTATGATATTCAAGATAACAAGCGATTTTGTATAGTATGTGATTCCAATAACCACTGAAATCTGTTGTCACGTACAGAAACAAAATAACAGAAAATCTTTGTTTTTATTTTTAATCAAACATGTATCAGTGAATGAGTGCTACTTTTGTACTAAACATGCATACATGCATTCACATACATATGTGTGCTTGTGCATATTTTAAAATTATTTCTCTTTGCAAGCATTATAGCAAAACAACAAAGCCACCTACCTTTGGGGTAAGATCCATTAATCATAAATATATTGTTAAAAGGTCCGTCATTGTAAGTATTGGTTGTGGAATTCTCAATATCCTGATTAACTTTTTGTTCGTTTTGCAACTGTTTGTCTCCTGACCCGTAACTGACTGGCTCCAAAGCACCATCGTCTATCGCCATACGATTGGACTCGGACGTACTTTGTAAATCGTTTTTCACTTTACTAGGCAGTGAAGTCACCGTTCCGAAATCTGGAGCCGGAGCCTGATTTCCTCGTATACGGTTGTTGTTTCGACCGCGAGCCCTTCGTCCTCCGCCGTGCCCTCGTCTTTCCGGACGATCGGGGTTGGAACCGGCGCAAGGACAACGACGCTTTTCCGACACGACCAAAGTTTGGACTAGACGATTGACGCTCTCTGTTAAATCCATAAGCAGTTGTGTTTGCTGCGTGGAAGTGTTTCGCAACTCTTCCAATTCCAGACGCAATTCGTCATTTTCGTGAGACTGTTGTTTGAGCTCAACCAGAATGTTTTCCACCAGGTTTTTCCATTCCCTTGGGAACCTCCGGTGAGGGTGATGCGGCCACTTGATCCCATGACACCCATCATCTCCGAAACGTAATTCGCGGACAGTCGGCTGCGACAGGGTTGTCTGAAAGATTGTCACCACAAGACAGCAAAATAAGGGTGTACATGCAAAACAACATATTATCGCCTTCATCCTTGATATAAAGAAAAGCCTCGTGTTAGGCGAAAACTCCCTGATAGTAAATCACAAACGAACACGTGTGTGTGTTTATAAATCCGTGAGTAGAGACTGTCACGTATGTTTGTTTAGACGTGAGAGATGTATTTGTTCTACAAGTGATTTAAATATATATATATATATTTATTTCGCGGTGATTCTTTTTAAATTTATATATATATAGGTATATATATTCTCCGGCTGTGGGTGTAGTAAATGTAAATTTTTCTTTCTATTTTTTAAATGTTTGGTTTTGTTGTAATAACAATATTGGCTTATTCGTACACTGAACACAGAACTAAACTATTATCACAAAGACTTCTTCCGCAGAAATATAAAATTATCGATCGAAAACAATCATCTCTTATACAGATCCACAAAAAGTAATAAATCCCAAAGCATAACAATATATATATATATCTATATCAATACTTAAGTAGATAGAAGCAGATAGAATATATTAATAAAATCATGAACTGTGTTCTAAATATATACATTTATATATACATATATA